GTTTGCTGCGTTCTTCACAAGACAACCTAATAATTCTGAAATATTAATATAATGAAAAACATTCCTAACAATTAGACTCCTATTCCAAGTAAACTTGGGTGCGTAACTTTCCTAATAACATTAATATAATAATTATTAAATATTATCTATATCTATTATCTATTATTATATAAAAAGACAACTTAATAATTCTGAAATAATAACTAAAAAACCAGCTTAAATCCTGTGGAGATGATAGATACCAAATTACCAACAACTTACGGTACTTGAAGTTAGGATCTAACTTTGAATATTATAATACTATATTATTATTATTATTATAGATAGATTTTCCTGTTAACAAACTTAATTATAAATGGGGTAAGATAAGATATTATTCAAATGTTTAATAGGAAAAGGAGTCCTCGGAGACTCAAAACTCTTCTATTAGTTTATCTTTCCAAAAAAAAAATAAATAAATACAAAACTCACAATGTATGAGACTACATCGAGTACATATTTATATAATAAATAATTAAATAATATTTTATCCAATTAATCACTTATCAAACTGAATTTATCTCACTAAAAAACTTTTTGAATTTTTTCGAAATTAAATTGTACGATTATTCTTACGGATATACTTACCAAAATATTAATATTATAGACACTATAAAAATAAATTTGAATTATCACAACTTTTAATTTATTTGGAATTCAAATATATATTTTTAAGTATACTAATAAACATTAATTATTTATTTTTTTACTTAGGTGATAAATTTGGTTATTATATTTTTAAATTCATAATATTTAAAGAAAAAAAAAATCACAAACATATTTTTTGGATACATTTTATTTTATCTAATCTTCCATATAATCATATTTTTAACAAATTAATTAAATAATATTTTTATACATATTTATCGGATGTTTTAAAATATAATCTATTAATATATAAAGAGACAATCATATTTACTTAAATGGTAACTAAAAATAAGTAAAAAAAACATTTAGGTTCCCGCCTAAAAATTCTGATTTACTAAATTGGGTAATTGTTTTAGCCAAAATTTGAAAAATCCCGCCTAAATTAATTTAAGTAATGTACATAATTATTTTGGTCAAATAATACAGCTATTACTTTTATTACTGGCATGATTTAAATTTAAAATATAATACATTGACAAAACTTGCGGCTATTACCTTTATTAGTTGCATGGTTCAAATTTGGTATATAATAAACTAACAAAATATAAATATTTTTATTTAAAATTAAAAATAAAAAAAATAATTATTCATAGCGTACGGGTCAATATTAACTTGGACGTAAATGAAATAGTCAATTATTTATAGTTTAATAAATTACTCAATAACGTACGAGTCAATATTAACTTAGACGTAAATGAAATAGTCAATTATTTTGGTTTTTTTAATTTAATAAATTACTCAACTACTTCAAAATCTTTTGGTCTTTCCATCGTCAGCTTTCTTTATTTGCTTTTGGTCTTTTTTATTTGAATAATTTATATAAAAATAATTTTTTTCAAGAAACAATATAAATTTTATATTTATACTTATTATTCACATAAGTTGTTAAATATATGACAAAATTTTACCAAAATAACTATTTTATGAAATAACATTATAGTCAAATCGATTTTTTGAATAAAAATTTTAAAATGACACTTATTTTGAAACAAATATGACGTGGTTTGTTATCGGTTATGTGCACCGCATAAGTTGTGTATTAATTTTAAATAGACGTTTTTTATGTAATTTTGCGCAATTTAAAATTTATATAACACTAGTATTCGATCTTGTGCATTTGCACAGATATTAATAGAGTATTATAATTTATATGTATTCATATCAAATTAAAATTATAAGTTCGATAATTATATTATATTGCAAACATGAGATATTATAAGTTAAATTTATGCATATAATATCAAAATTATAAGTTAGATAATGACATTATGTTATAAAATTTGATCATTGCTTAAAATAAATAGTACATAATGATTTGATTCCAGATGAATCACTATATTGATTGCATAAAATGTAATAAATAGTGTATTTTGTAGTATTGAGAGATCATGACCAATTGATTAGCTGAGAAAATATTAAAATTATTATTTCAAATGTAATCATGATTATGTAAAAATCAAGTTATTTGATATGGTATGCACATATGTGCGTGCAAAAAAAAAAAAA